TGGAGACAGTATCTGTTAGTTTCCTGACATAGCATGACAAAGAAAATATCTCCAAAAACAGTTCCACTACTTCAGACACTTGCGTTGGGTCCGATGGAATCTGCTTCACCACTAGATTTCTAGTAAACTGTCCCAAAGCAGGCGTTTTGTCTACTTTTCCCCATGTGGCTGTACCCGCACATTTGTCGGAGCTACGGTCACTTTCACTTTCACTGTCTGTGGTCACAATTTTTTGTTCGCCCCTGCCACACTCACTATCAGATTGTGAGTCGCTATCACTAGCAGACTCACAAGCGACGTCAGATAGCTCATCGGAGAAGAAGTCAGATATTTCTTGTTCTCCAAGAAATAACTGCTTTGATCCATATTGACCTACTGACTGACAGCTTGCTACGTAAAGCTTGAAGAAATAAAGGCATTTATTTTCCTTTGCAGGGGCATAGAGTTACAGCGAGGTCTAGTAACTGATTGGTCAGCAGACATTCCAGAGCCTTATAACGCAGCTGCAAGCAGCTACGTGCTAGCTAGGTGGAGCCAGAGAGATGTATAGTGTGTTGCAACTTATCGTGTTTTAAAAACTTTTTAACACACAAACGGTCCGCCATGTTTAAAAGCGAAAAACCTTTTAAAGTGTGCGTGGTCTGCAAAGTGTTAATATATGTAAACATTATTAAAGTGATAATTTGCTGTTTCCAAGAATAAAGGCACGGTCACTGATTAACCAATTGGACTGTAAAGGTTAACTCTTTTAGTGTCAGCCTCTAGGCACAGCATATACTGAAAATGCCATTCAATTTTTGCTGAAACTGCAAGCGTTGGGAAAAATATCTACTTACCATGGACTTTATGAATGTTTTGATGACTCTTGACAAAGTGCCATAACATCATCATCATTAGTAATCTGTCAAGACGACAGGTCCACAGTCTCTTCCAAAACAGTTCCTCCACTTGATGCGATCTAGAGCTTTCTCCTTCAAATCTCGCATATATGGTATCTCTGGTTTTGGAAAGAGACTATCCAGGAAAAGTGATAATGTGGTAGTTTTTCCATTTGCTTTCCACATCGCAGTACAATAGGCGTTCAAACCACTCTGGTCACGCCTGTTGCTATACGAACTTGAACCATCTCGAGCATTATTTACTCTGTGCTTCAAGTCGCTGCTGATGACGCTGCTTCCGGCATCAGTTTTTGGTTTTTGGTGTCTCTCTTCGTCTGATGCCTACCCTTTGACCTGTCCAGCAAGGGAGGCCCTGCCAGTAGCTACGCTACCGTGGTATAGCTCTCAGGGTCCTTGGCATACTCAAACCCCCTCACCACATATTATGATTACATAATATTATGTATGACACCAAATGTAGCGTGTTTGGTTGTCACGCCACAAATAAGTACACGCCGTCGTCCCAGTATAGCGAGTTTACTCTGTTCGCTCGCATTACACACGTTTTACAATCATCTGCACTTGCAGGCTTACAATAACCGATTACAATATTCCGGCGATACTGGACTCGGACGGATATTCCAAACTGACTTCTTAGACGGGCGATCCGAGGCTTCCTTCTTCGAGGCTTGTTCCGAGACTTCTGTCTTCTCCGAAGACTATTCCGAGACTGAAGGTATCTCATCGAGGCTGGCCTATTTATACCCTCGCCACTGCTAGGCAAATGAACCTTCTGTTATAACCATGGAGACGTTGCTTTGTTTGTCGTTACCGTGGAGAATCGATGTTCTCGATACAGTATCGATATTGTTACTTCTTTCCATAGAAAGTGACTTCTGGATTCCAGACACGTTACATTGCTCCCTTCTAAAGGTTGTTCGTCCCCGAACAGCCTAAAGGTTCTCCCTCGGTTTCGATCCCGTGGTGGTTTGCTGGCAACGTCTGCATTCGGCCTTGGTGTCTGCTGGCATCTTTGTGCTCTGTTCAGCCTAACCGCCTCCGCCCCCCTCTTCGGTTGTGCTCGCCCTCGAGCACTCCCGTGGTCCAGAATTTGTAATCTCGTTGTTTCACATTCATTCCTCACTCCCATTCTTCATGCATACTTGCTGGGGAGGCCGGCACTTTACCGGTTCCTCCCATAAAGGTCGTTACCCTTTTTCCGTTTTGGAGGGGGTCGACCCCTCCACAGCGTCCAGTTCTTGTTTCCCTGCTCCCTGTTGGGTTCCTTGGGAATTTGTTTCCTGTTTCCCGGAGCGTAGATCTCATATAATCTTATATAACAATCCTTGAGCGGCCCTTCTCTCCGCGTTGCTCGCTCGCTCGTGGTCCCGACGCTGTTACTCCCAACCATGCTTTTCTTGCGCCAGGACATTCCTGGACAGGACGTCATTCTGCCGGTCTCCTGTGCTTGCCGTGCCACTATCGCACGGGGGTTCATCCCTCTGTGGGTGACGGCCAGTTTCTTCCGCTGGCATCCGAAGGTTCCCTTGGGAGTCTCCTTCTTGAAGTCGTTTCTCCAACGTCGTGCCACTGTCGCGCGACGGGATGTCGTTCTGTCTGTGACGGCCAATTCCTTTTGGGGCCCACGATTTTCCCCTGCCGAATCCTTCGGTTCCTGGCGGCGGCGCTCCGCGGCCAGTTTCTTGTCCCTACGCCGTTTCTTCGGTTCTCCGACCGGTATTCTGAGGGCGTCATCTAAGGGGACTTCTCTCTGCGTCGCCTCAGGTTTCGTGTTCACTGAGACTGGCTCCAGTACATCTTGGCAGGCTGTCGTCTCTTTCTGCCAGGCATCCATGTTGGCTTGCAACCTCTTCTCTCGCCATAACATATATCACATAAAATATTCTACACTTCACTGTTTCCTGCACAGAAAATGGGGATGAGAGAATTTACTAATCAATCTGAACTTCATGTCAACCTTAAACCACTGAAAATCAGATTCTATTAAAATCCTTTTATAGTGTATTCAATTCTAAGTATGCCTACCAATTTTCATGACATTTCACACATTCCTTGTACCTGATCTTTAGGGCTCTTCCCATTTCACATATGCACTGTTTTGTAAAGATCTGTCTAGTAAACACAATTCTCATTCTTCTTATTTGTTTAAGTTTTTCCAAGTTATTGTTCCAATCTTGTATTGAACTGCAAGCCATCTGTGTACATGCCTAGTAAATACTGCATAAATTCTATGTGATCCCTGATTCCAACCAATTTTTCACCAACTTCCAATTGCTAGTGTGGATTATAATGGTTTTGGAAATCCCAATTGGTATGGTTTATCAAGGGTCAGGTCTTGAACCAAGTCAGAATTGTGTTCTCCAGATCTGGCAAGTTTCTAATATCAGCTAAAACTTGGGATAAACTGGAAGCAGTTTCTTGTGAACATACCATGAAACCTTGCAATGTACTGTGATTTGCTTGTATTTTCATACCAATAAGATGCAACTGCTTGTCTTCTCGTGATGTTCAGGTTTAGCAAATAAGAAATAAATCTTTTATTTTGACAAAAGTTAACACTTTCCTTCCATTTTACTCTTGAATCTGGAGAAGGATTAGCATGGTCTCCAAGGAACAGCTGGCATACCAATTTGTTTTAGTGACAACTGTATTTATTAATGCTGTGGTGAAAAAGAAATATTCATACCAGTCACAGCAGGTGCTGCAGCTTGAGTTTGGGCATGTTTTGGTCCCTACAGTTTTTAATAGTGAATGTTGGTCCATAGTCAATTATTATTGTCACCAATGATATCTTCCCAGTCACTGTCACTATCTTTGTCATCAGTGTCAATATTTTTATGATCTGAACCTACACTTCTGAGGCATCACTCTGACAACCATGATGGGTACATCTGCTCATTTCTTTGGTATGGAAGGGTTTAGTGTTGCATAATCAGTTTCATGACGATCCACAGAATCCAAAATGCCACTAAACATATAATTTTAATACATACTGTCAGTTTCTTCTTAAACTCTACCTATTTACTTGTCTTTTACCAGACTGTGATCCATCCTTCAGGAAGCAATATGCACCCACATAAAACTTAAACAAATGACAGGGGACGCGCCATAGCTCAGGGGGTTAGTCGCTGGCTTCCCACCACGGCAGCCTGGGTTCGATCCCGGGTCTGGTCAAGTGGGATTTGTGGTGGACAAAGTGGCGCTTGGGCAGCTTTCTCCGAGGACTTCGGTTTCCCCTGCCAATCTTCATTCCACCAATTGCTCCATAATCACCCTCACCTATCATCTGGGGCTGCTACAATAGGCCAGAAGTGGCCACAGTACAAGGGACTTAGTCCCACCCCACTAGCAATAAAAATAAATAAATAAATATATGACATAACACTGAGCCAAGTAAAACATGGTTGCTAGGCAAAGTGGAAGGAACATCAGAAATGACAACTCTGTATGAAGTCAAAATAAATTTGATCATAATTCTGGGACATTATACATATAGATCAGAACTGAGCAGAAGCTTCACTGCATCTGCTGCAATGATTAGAAATAACATCTTGTAGTCAAGATAGGAATTAAAAGGACATCAGAAAGGTGGCTACTGGCACATTTAGCAGAACCCCAGGGGCTGACAGAATGGTCACTTGGCACTAAGAAGGTCATCATCTGCAAAAACGCATGCTACTGGACACTATTCTGAGCCCCACAAATCCTGTACACATTCTCACACCCTATATGTTTAGGAGCAACTACTGTTAGAGTACCAAAATCAAGGAAAGTTAATACTGGTTGGACCTGTAACATGCATCGGTGAGATTAGAAATGTATACAAAATTTTAGTCTGATGCCCGAAGAGGACGACTAGGCAGAATAATAACAACAATAGTAAATGAATCTTCCCAAAATAATGTATTGCTATGTGGACAGGATTCAACTAGTTGAGGAGAAGATACTGACTGGCCTTTGTGAACATTGTAATGAACCTTCAGGTTCTGTGAATGCCAGATTTTTGAGCAGATCAGAGATTATCAACTTCAAAAACTCTATTCTGTGGAGTTACATTAATAATTCTTATGAGATATTAAATTATGTATTCAGCTGACTCACTTTAATATCATGGTGCACAATGCTCTGAGAATGAATGTAGCACACACCACTCACAATCTGCTGGAATATGGCAACATTCTGCTTCATATCCACCACAGTAGGTTCCTCTGCGTTCCTAATGTCCAGCCACTGCCGCAATGTTCGCTCACACAGCTGCATTTGTACATATAACATGGCTGATTCACACTGTAATAAGCATCAGATAAGGGTTTAAAGGGAGAAACTAGTACATAACTTTGTCGATGTGTATGAACCATACAGTATCCCTTATACTCTTTTAAGAGTGTCTGAAATCCAAGAAGAAGTTCAAATGTGTGGTAGACTGTATGAAAGTGCAATTTAATATAAACTTACGTGAATGGATGGGTTTTCAGTCTTTGTGAGATTGGCAATTTGTCTGGCTTCCTGGTATTTCATCATAACTTTGTTCACTGACACATTGCTCTCATCTGTTGAAGAAGTAAATTCATTGGAAGTCTTAATATTTATTATCTTTCTCTGGCACACTTGCTTCTTCATGCATAGTGTGTCTGCTGAAGTCTGACCCTGATAGCCACTACTGCACCTTACATGTCTGTATGATTGAGTTGCTGATACTGCTTTATACTGCTGGCTAACTGTGCACACATTTTCATTGCAATCACTAGCAATGACTTCTTGGTTATTATTGTCTTCATTTGGATTACCAGTACTAACACTTGCACTACTGTCACCAAGTCCTGTTCTCTCTCTGGATGCACTGCGCTTGAACACAATACTGCCTGAATCCTCAGTACTATGATGACAAAATTTTCTGGAACAAGAACATTACACAACATGGCTACAGCAATAATAAACTTAATGTAAACTACACTGCAAAAGCTTTCGTATGTCTGCTGTATGAGCCAATCAAACAGAGCCCCTGGATGATGCAGCATGTTTTAGGGACTTGAGTTCTATAAAGCACACTAGTAATCTCTATAAACAAGTGAAATTTAGTAACACTGTTAGGATCAGTTTTGGGGAAAACTGTCACTTCATGCTTTAACTTTGATCCAATGAGCTCTTTACTTTAGGCTATGAAGTTAATATTCATATATAGTTTGTAAAGGATGCAGTATGTAAAGGATGTAATCATATAAATACCCATTTTATTAAAGAGTTCAACATAAAATTGGAATATATTTCTTGCATTCACAGAACCATCATTCTCGTCATGCATACTATCCACCATGTGACAATAAATTTACATCTAAACTTTAATCAAAGTACTGGAGAATTAATCAAATTATAAAATTGCCAGTACATTGGTGTACAAGTTACTCCATAGTCTAAGATTAGGATGACCACTGCTTATGGCGTATCCAATCAGTTCATCCAAAATTTCTAACCAGTGCTCTTAAAGCCTACCATAATGTAAGTGTCACTTACAACAGGGCCTAAAGAAATTACAGTTAGGGTACCCGGTGCCAAGGGTCTATGAGTTATCCTCATTTCTACACATGATTCGTTTTTGCTTTTGGAGCATAAATTTGTTTTACATGAATCAATTTATTTTTCTGTGTGTTCTACTTTATACTATTAGACGTTAACAAATCAATTAGTCATAAAATTACATCTAGTGAATTTATTAATGACCTACCTTCCCTTGAGGTTTAGAGTAACTCAGGTATAATAAGGCTTAAGAACAAATGTTACGTAACAATTTCTTATGCATGTACAAAAGGTGAAATAAGCAACAACACAAAAATATCACCAAAGACTCACACAGATAGCAGCAGAAAACACAAAAATATCACCGAAGACTGAACACAATGTATTCAGTGAGACCAATTATTTATCATCTGTAATACACATGACGTGCAGCGTTACCTTGCACTCACGCTAACTGATTAATGATTTAACCTGGTGGAAAGTTATTATTTGTACATCAATTAAAGAATATGTGTTAGTAAACATAAGACAATTTTTTATACATAGAATATGAAGATTTAAGAAACTATTTTTTATTGCTAATTATCCCAAATAGGACCTACCCAGTTTCTGGAAAAATGTTTTACTTTTAAAGATAAGTTATGAAGACAGACAGTTGACAATTTCTATGATGGACAATTTTCATTACTCCTCATGTGCATCATGCACCCAAATTTTTAATCACAAATTTTGGAAGGTAGGCATGTGTGAATTATGCAATTAAATATGAAATGTGAGAAAAACACTTCTTAAAATCTATGCGTATTGTATCTGCTCTACTGCACTAAAATATTCTTTTAATTTATATAGAAATAAATGGTCCAAAATCACCTGCTTTCTCCAGCTGCGTGTGTGTGCAGAAACATATTATCACTTTTATCACTGCCATCTTCCTCTGCAACTTGACTGCTAGGAGTGATAGTCATGGGTTCCAACCATGCAGCTTTGTAGGACACAATGTTAGGGTGGTTCAACTTTGCTAACATCTTCACTTCACGTAAGCTGAGTAGAAACCCAGTAATACTGTGGTATCTGGAAACACAACTATATCAGTAAGCACTACACAAGTTAACTCAAGCAGCCATGTGCCTGATTCATACTTGTGCAGCAATCAATTTGGACATCTTGGATGTTCTAACTGAAATCTTCATAGATTTCCTAGTCACTCTAGGTGAATGGTGGAAGGTACATAGAAACACGCCATAACCACTTCCTCTCAAATCCTTTCACCACACATAATCAGTGAAGCTACTTGTCAAAAAATTTAAGAATCTACCACTGTCAACAGACTTGAACAAATGAAATCCAATGTGAAGAAATTAACATTTCTTTGTATTTTAATATACAAGAACAATCCCGATGGTCCACAAACTTTCAGGTCACTGTTTATGAACCTTACTGATGACATACACTGAAAATTAATCCATATACACATAATTACAAAGACTTAAGTATCAGTTTATTAGAGAAGTGTGATGTAAGAACTGTGAATTTTCATTATTTCAGTACACTTTATTTTAATAAAAACCAAGATGAAGAAAAGGTGCTTTGGCTAGTATATTAATAAAAAATGGTATTCACTAAAATTACTCTTACTGGAGACAGATTTTTTTGACAGCATATTCCACTCCATCCAGTTTGTTTCTGACTTTGTACACTCGACCAAAGCCACCACGTGCAATGAATTCCAACTGTTCATACTCAGTACTATAGCGAGACCAGTCACATGTGAATGGCGAATCTGATATTCCAATGTTATACCTGACAACAGAGTAACAAAATATTACATTCATTATAACTGCAACATTAGCAGTTTAATATAACATCAGCCATAAATGGGTTTCCCTGTCAGAAAAGACAACTGAACAATGAAAATGATTACCTAACTTCTTTTAGGCATGAAGTTTGAAAATTTATTTGATCTGTTTATAGTCCTTTAAGCATTTCAGTGCCATATTTTTATAGCATGGACAAGTCCTCTCAGTCAGATTTTGTTATTGTAAATATTCATATTACTTTTCCCACGATTATCTCTATTGCTGCACTTACTCAAATATTTTACATACCTCTTTACCCATAAATTTCATATGAAAGTTGTGGCATGTAAAATATGTGAAAATGATATAATCCTGATTACATAGGCACAGATTATCTAATTTGTATTTTATCCATGCACCTTTTTAGGGGCCATTCACAATGCTGTGGAGTGCCTATTAAGTTCGCTCAGTCCTTCCATCCATATATGCATACGAAATGACCAGTAAACTGCTGGATGGACTTTCATGAAATATGATATTAGGGAACTATACACAGAATTGTTAAGCCATTTCAATTTTAATTTAAATCAGACAATATTCATGACCATTTTACATGAAGACTTACGTGTGCTTCTGTGCATATTTTGACAGTAATTTGACAAATATTTTTCACATTAAAGAATACTTCAAGCATAAGTTGCAGTTTTATGTTCAATATGCTCTTTCATATGTTTTATGGCTTTCGAGATAACTGAACAAATCAGCTGCTGTGTGTAAATTTCCAAATGTCTATATTCAGCAATTGCCATTGTTTCCCAGTCAGACCCTAAATTTTTATCATCAGCATTTTTCAATTATTTATGCATATCCCTCCTTTCATTTGCAGAGTTAATCTGGGGTATACTGCACTGTTTTTCAAAGTGTAATTTTACATGTTACATGCAGGCAGAGTTGAAGTAATGTATAAACACAGTATGAATATTCCTGCCTATGCTTCCACTAAGTGATTCTTTGATGAACACTGAGATGAAAATACCCTTCAATAATATTTGTATTTTGGCATCCTGTTGCAGCTGGTATTATTTATTTTTGGTTCTGTATACTGTCCACCTCATAGCAGTGTTAAGATTTAAAATTAAATCCTTTCAAAATTAGTCACTGCACTATATGTTTTGGCCTACTCAATCATCATCAGGTGCACTGAAATTCAAGAGAACTGCTGGGCCTTGTACACTAATGCAATAAGCGTTTTCATATTAATAATGTTTCCAAATGAAGTCAATTTAGTTCCCCTTTCTGCGCCACATATATTGTCATTTTTGGTATTTGTGTTGTCTATCTAGTGTGAAGTGTGGATGATTATGTTATCATATTAGACAGACAACAGGAATACAAAAAATGACAATTCATGTGGCAAAGGAGGAACTACAGTGACTTCATAGAGAAGATTATAAATATGGAAACACTGATTGCAGCAGCACAGAAGGAACAGCAGGTCCCTCGAATTTCAACACACCTTATGATAGTAGAGTAGGGTGTAATATGAAGTGCACTGACAAATTACAGAAAGATTTAATTTTAAATCTTAACATTGCTGCATGGTGGATGTTAAACAAAACTAAAAATAAATTCTAAAGCCCCTCAATAAAATGTCAACCAATGAACAATTTGAATAAAGAAGGTGATGTGACAACCTGATATGGCTATTCATATCGGTGTACCCCACCATCAAATCCCTTGATGAACACAGATGATAATGCCTCATTGTCCAACTCTGATTAACACATAATTTCAAAGGAAAATGCATTCAAAGTTTAATACAATGTGGAAATACGAGGGGGGACCCAAAAATAACTGGAACCGACCTGTTGCGCGCGCATGCTTTGTAGTTACGAGTTGTGCTGCTAGGTGGTGTTAGCTGGGGGTCTCCCGCAACTGTTAGTGAGCTGGCGTCAGTCTGAGTTAAGTGGTTTGTCTGTGGTGCTCTGTTGTGTGCGTTCCTGTTTCAACCCTTTGGCGATTAGTGAGATGGCCGACCAGAAGGAACAAAGAGTGTGCGTGAAATTTTGCTTTATGAAGATCGTCGAAAGACCATTGACCAACCTTCTGAGGAAACGAACATCTCATGGAGCACGGTCCAGCAAATTTTAACCGAAGGTTTGCACATGAGATGGGTGTCTGCAAAATTTGTTCCTCGCTTGCTCGGAGATGACCAAAGAGAAAACCGCGTGAATGTTTGCCGCGACTTGAAGAGTGAAGTGCAGAACGATCCAGAATTTCACGCACTCTTTGTTCCTTCTGGTCGGCCATCTCATTAATCGCCAAGGGGTTGAAACAGGAACACACACAACAGAGCACCACAGACAAACCACTTAACTCAGACTGACGCCAGCTCACTAACAGTCGCGGGAGACCCCCAGCTAACACCACCTAGCAGCACAACTCGTAACTACAAGGCATGCGCGCGCAACAGGTCGGTTCCGGTTATTTTTGGGTCCCCCTTCGTATAGTATTGGATAGTCAAGGCTACAGCTTCCACCATGAAATTTGTGATTAATAATGAACCAAAAATCCCCCTTGATAAAATTTCAAGTAACACATAACTGTCACAGAAAATACAATACAGATGAATGCGATGTGGCAAAATGATATGGATATTCAACATGTACACGTAGACACCACTAGGTGACCCCTTCATGAACAGCAAGAGAACATACTGTTAACATCAATATCAATGTCACATCTTTCATAGAGATTATGCATCAGTCAAAATGTTATTAACAGTAAAATTAGGCCACTCCATAGCTCCAGCAGTTAATCGTTGACTTCCCACTGCGCCGGCCTGAGTTTGATCCCGGGTATGGTCAAGTGGGATTTCTGGTGGACAAAGTGGCACTGGGGCAGGTTTTCTCCGAGCACTTCAGTTTCCCCTGCCAATATTCATTCCACCAAATTCTCTATTATCATAATCACCCGGGGCAGGGTACAACAAGCCAATCAGTGGCCACCGTACCGAGTGGACCCAGCTGGACTCCACCCCCCACTAAGCGGGTGGGGGGGAGGAAGAGTTAAAATTATAGCATTTAACTTAATTCCAAAATGTCTTGTCAAAAAGTATGGGTGCACAATTTTATGGAGTATTAAATTATGTGAGTAAATATGGTATATCAGGAAAAGCATCTGCAATCTTTTCAAATACCATTTTTCATTGTGTCATCATGTAAGCCATGGACCATAAATTTTTGATGTAAAATTGAGAAAGGAATTCTCATATATTTCACAGATGTTATTCTTACATACGAAAGACAGTATGAATTAAATAATGTACAGCAAGTATGAAAGCCCAGCAAGAACGAGAAAGAAGACATATTTGGTTCACTGAAAAATGTTCTCTGCTATATGCTAAACATCATATGATCAGTGTTGTGATCTCTCAGCCATGAGCATGCAACAAATAAGACATTGTGATGCACCAGAAAAACACTGATGTGACATGAAAACTGGGAACTAAAATGAAGGAATTTGTCTGTGGATTTAATTGTAATTTACTTCACTGAAAATATATTACTTGTATTGTACTTAATGAGCATGAGAGTGTATACATTTATGGATGGTTTAAAGAGAAGATTAACAATGTTATATTTTAGCGTCCTCTTGCACTGATTTATGTCCATGATTTAGTCTGACCGTCTTACAGTGCATACATTTATTCACCTTACTCTTCTCTCTTGAACTACATGTTTCAGCACTAACGTGCCATCTTCAGGTGCTTTTCGATGTACGTCGAACTACTTCATTGCATGCCCTGTTGTCTTTATACTAAAATAACTAAAATATATATTCGTCATGTATACTGATAAATTTTAAATATTAAAAATATTGAAACTGTTTAGGATTTGTCATCCTTATGTCATATCTCAATACGCGAGTCACACCTACCTTCTTCTATTGGAGTATTCTTCCTACTGTCATGTGTGTATCTGTAACGTGAAATTGTTATTCATTAATACCACGTTCTGAATTTTATTTGTTACGTGTGGTATTATAATGTTTAATACTCACTGTGCTTTGTGTTGTGTCTTGCTCCTGTGACTGCGTGTGTTATACTGCTGGGCCTACTGGGTATGTGTGTGTGTGCTGTCTTCGTTTTGATTGAGTTATATATTTTAGTTATTTTAGTATAAAGACAACAGGGCATGCAATGAAGTAGTTCGATGTACATCGAAAAGCAGCTGAAGATGACACTTTAGTGCTGAAACATGTAGTGCAAGAGAGAAGAGTAAGGTGAATAAATGTACGCACTGTAAGACGGTCAGAATAAATCATGGATGAAGATTAACAAAATGAATAAAACTGACTTAGAGTTTGTATGACAGACAATGTACAGAGTCAACATTAAATATATGGTGATGGCAGAGACTGGGATAAATTGGTGAAAGTGAGTGCAAAGAATGTGAAATAGGAAAGTAAGTGTTCTGGCCTAGGAGATAGGACTACACTTACCTGGGGAACTGAAGCAAGACATTTGTTTCATTTTCACTGGCATCTGTCACAGATTTAGCAACACTGAGCAGATGAAACAGAGCCTTCTGGTAGTGACTCCGCATAAACTCAAACTCCTCCACATTATACGACTGGTCAATGAGGTTCATTTGATGCAGTTTGTGGCAGATGGCTAAAAAAAAAAATGCACATAAGAAAATTTGATTATGTACATGGGGAAGAAAAGACTTAAGCTAAAGAAAATGGATATGAGATTTGGCAATTGGAATGCGATCTAAGAGAGATAGGATGGGATGTTATGGATTGGATTGATCTGGCTCAGGATAGGGACCAGTGGAGGGCTCTTGTGAACACGGTAATGAACCTTCAGGTTCCATAAAATGATGGGAAATTCTTGAATAGCTACAGAATTGGCGGCTCCTCCAGAAGGGCTCAGCTCCATGAGTAAGTAAGTAAGTAAGTAAGTAAGTACATGGGGAGGGCTGCGCCACAGCTCAAGCAGCAAGTCGCTGGCTTCCCATCGCAGTTACCCAGGTTCGATCCCAGGTCTGGTCAAGTGGGATTTGTGGTGGACAAAGTGACGCTGGGGCAGGTTTTCTCCGAGTACTTCAGTTTCGCCTGCCAATCTTCATTCCACCAATTGCTCCACAATCACCCTCACCTATCATCTGGGGCTGGTACAATAGGCCAGAAGTCACCGCAGTACAAGGGACTTAGTTCCACTCCACTAGCAATAAAAAAAGTACATGGGAAAGTCATAAAATTTTAATTATAGTTCCACTCCACTAGCAATAAAAAAAGTACATGGGGAAGTCATAAAATTTTAATTATCACCCAGAACAAACAGAGATACAGGTGCAAGAAAGTGTATGTGAATTGGTCCTTCTCTACATATACCCCACGCAAGGCCACACATTTTCCCCAACGATGCACTAGCTCGTGGATACCTTGATCATAGAAGGTCTCATTTTGACTGTTTAGAAGTCTTCCACTACAGAAATGACATCACCATTGTCTTGGAATTGCTTACCACGAAGTGGCTCCTTTAGCCATGGAAAGAGGAAGGAGTCACTTAGTGCCAGGTCTGGTGAATATGGTGGATGGGGGAGAATTTCGTATCCCAAACTGGCAGCAAGTGTTATCGTAGCATGAGCAGCATGAGCTTGTGTGTTGTCATGAAGAAGTTGCACACCTTTTCCCAGCATTCCGCATCACTTTTTCCTAATTTCCTCCCATAATTTTCTCAGAAGGTTCTGGTAGTACTTGCCAGTGATGGTGATGCCCTTTTGCACATAGTCGGTAATGATGACATGCCACCAATCCCAGAAAACGCTCAACATCACATTTCTTGACGATGGCTGGGATTTAGCCTTCTTTGGTGGTGGCAAGTCTGCATGTTTCCACTGCTTGCTCATTTCCTTTGTTTCAGGGTCATAATGAGAGACCCAATATTCATCCATCGTGATCAGGCTGTCGAAAAATTCCACCTTTTCATTTTGACACAACTGCAAAAGTTTCTTTGCCGCATCTATCTGTTGCTGATTTTGAACTGGTGTCAACAATCGTGGCACCCAATGAGCAGTGACCTCTGTCATGTGTAACTCATCATGGATGATGCTAAAAACTGACCCATGGCTAATGCGGACCTCATGAACAATAGATTCGATAGTTATGCACCTATCCGACAGGATCAAAGCTTTCCACCTGTGCCACAATTCCCGGTTCCTCAGCGAAAGATGGTCTTCCACTTCAGGGTTCATCTTCAAGGTTTGTCTGTCCACAATGAAATCACTGTCATATGATAGTACCCCTTCCTGATACACAGCAGTCATCTGGTTGTGGGACTTCCTGGCAGACTTCCCTTGCAAATGCAGGAATGGTATCACAGCATGAGCCTCCACTTTCTCAAGTGGAGAACATGAGAACAAAAATCACAAAGTGAGTGCTGTCTTTGTACTGGCTACAACAGAACGACATTTCGACAAGAGGTCTCTCTGACATCATACTGGAAAGGAGTAGTAAGTAACCTTTATTCCTTAACTGTCACAGGATCCCATATACCAGTGTTCCTAGATTGTGGAACATGTACCACCTGGGGTATACAAAATGATTTCAATGAGTAAGCAGTAGGAAAGAAATTACTAAAATTGTTACAAACTTCTATCTGCCACCAGATAAAATCTGATATAAAGAAAAAAAATCCATTTCTTACAATTTTCACTTGATCACAAAATGGGACTATGTCTATATCATTGCTTGTCTTGCTACCTGGTAGAGAGTTTCTGATGACTAGTCTTAACTCAGTGTAAATTATATGCACTGGTTGTCTGACTGGATTAGAAGAGAATCATGGATTGCTTTAACTGGCATCCATACCAACAATAATATTTTTGATTCACAAGCTTACCATTATTTCATGTTTACTCAATTATACTGTCAAATAAAAAATGTCTTATGTGGAGGTCATGTCAGTCTGTCTATGACCTAATATCAGCACTCAAATGGTTTGACCAATTTTGATGAAAAAGTTTTTGAGCAATTGCAAAGTTTATGAAAAGTGGATTAATATACCTAGTGCTTACTTCAAGATCAAAACTAACTATAATCAACATCGTCTACATTTTTTCAACAGACTGAAAAAAGCTTCATATAAAAATTATAGAACTAATTAAAATAAACACATTTCATAATGAACATCTCCTTAACACATTGTGGACCAGTCGCACAATATCATGCTTTTTGCTTTTAAACATGGCAGACCGGTCGCATGATATCATGATTTTAGGACACGTTAGGTTGCAACACACTATACCTTCCTTTTTGCTGCGCAGCTTCAAGGCTACTGAGCAAAAAAACTCTGGAATGTTTGCTTAGTATTCAGTAACATGACCTGGCTGTTTTCTTAACCCATACTAAAGATAATGCTTTGCCTGTCTTCAAGTTGTATATATCAGCCAGTAGTTAGTGGTGGAGTATGGATCAAGGACAAATTCTTCTCCGATGAGCTAGCTTACGTTCCTTGTGAAACGTGTAGTGATGGTGACTCAGACAGTGGCAGTGACAGGGGACAACAAAGAATTGTGGCCACAGAGAGTAAAAGTGACAGTAGGTCTGATGAAAATGTGGGTAGGACCATTCCGGGGACAGCAAAAAATCTACAAAAAATCACAAAAATCTAAACCCTGATTCGAAATTGAAATACAAAGCATTTCTGATGAATGTGGCAAAGGCCTGGGCTACAGACCAGATGGTGGCGGCAGAACCACAGTCAGACACAGACTTAGTGCGAACGAGCCCACCCCATGCAGGCCTCCTGTGGACACCCCAGGGTGACTCTCGGGTGATATGCAGAAACATACCCTTGTGAAAATTGTGAAGAGTGAACATTCCAAGGGGAAGCATCCTTCTAGGCAATGCCGTGTTTGCACAGTTCACAAAAAAAAAAAAGGAATGTCTTCATCGCAAGTTCTGTATAATGCCACTTCACAAAGGGGAATGTTTCCATAAATATCACAATCTCAAGCACTTCTAGGAACACTGGTAAGTGTTCTCCAAAAATTTTAGTTCATAAAATTAATTAGGAGATTTTATATTAATTTTTAAAGTGAACAGTGCACAAGTTAGGATAGTAGGTTTAATAATGCTGGTCACCAGGGTGATTTAAATATTTAAATCGCCGGTCTGTGTTGTGTTAATATTATCGACATTTTTTTAGAAATGTCAACATTTATTATTATGTAAGCGGGTGTCCTTTCAAACCTATTCTATTAGGCAGCCATTTGTTTTCCAATAACATTATCTGAAATACAAAACACTGCTAATACATTTCTATACTGCAATGCTGGAATACCTTTCCAGCCTTTCATCATCATGCATAGTTACACAGCATTCCAAAGTATAACAATTGTGTTTCCTTGTCTGCTGGGAGCGATTTAACAAGAAATGGTTTGACAATACTTATTCAGAGGCATGGAAGAAGAGAAAATGAAAATTTAAAATGTCACAAATAAATATTAACATTACAGTGTTGTATTAACTACTGGGATTATGTTGAATAAAATCACAAATTACAAGATAATCACAATGGCATGGAATGTGGAAGTGGCTGTGTCTCGGCATTTGCCTGGACAGCCTAAATAAAACAATTAAAACCTTAGCCTGGATATTTGGTTTCCACCTGGCTTCTGTATCAGATACCATTAGAACCATTCAGATGTATTATCTATCACTGCTCTAACCCATATGTTGCAATGAATGCCATCACTGGTGGTTACTTATCTGTGGCACTCAATTCTGTACACATGAATTGCATAAATCTGTGAAACAATGGGGAATGTACTGATAGAACGTTAAACACTTCTGCTTTATTCATGGAAAAATCATCAGTTACCAGTGTAGAGCTTCTGCTGCTGCCCTGGAGTATTTCCCAGTAACTTGCACAACTGCTTAACAAGTGACTGTATTAGGAGGCTTACTGGAGTGAAATGACTAATGCCTTGTAGAGCCAGGCCATTATCCATCATGCCCACAGCAAGTGTGCTGCCTGGAACAAGAATGTGCCAATATACTGCAGAATCCTGTTGCACTGTGCATTCCAGCTTCATGTTCTTACCCCTTGCAGTCTTTGTGCCACTTCATTTATATATAAATATTCACATTTCAACATCTTCTCTTCTTGTTATACAATACTACATGTTTCAGCCTAACATAACAAAATGTAAGTAGCATCACAACTGCCATGATAGAAAAACAGAATATAACATGTATTATTTATAAATAAAACACTACTGTAACATATTCACCTTCAACCAAAAAGCTCAAAGTTTAAGGTTATGCCATCAGCTAGGAAGGTTGTGCTTACTGTGTTTTGGGATTCTCAGGGAGTACTGTTAGCTCATTTTCAGAAGCATGGTGAAAATGTGAATTCTTCATCATATTGTGAAGTTCTGTTGAAGCTTCAGGATGCAATTCGCAGAAAACATCAGGGCCAACTGGCAAGAGGAGTCCTGCTTCATCATGACAATGCCAGACCCCATTCAGCCCAAGCAACACAGGACAGAATTCAAGAACGACAATGGGAACTTCCTGAACATCAGCCTTGCAGCCCAGGCTTGGACCCTAGTGACATCCATGTGTTTGGTCTGCTAAAAAACTACCATGGCGGTGGCAAATGTTCTGCTGATGACAAAGAAGTTGAAACAGAGGTGCAAAAGTGGCCAAGACAACAGTTAAGAGACTTCTATGTTGCAGGTTTCAACACACCGGTAAAGCGATGGGACAAGTGTATCAATTTTTGTGGAAGATATGTTGAGAAATAAATGTTTTTTCCAGGATTGAATATCACATGTTTTGTGTTTTATATCCATTTGTGACCTGTCCATCAAATAAAAAAAAGAGAAGATGAAGAAGTGGGAATATTAATACGAGGAGCGTTCAGTACATAATGCCTCATATTTTTTTTAATGAAAACTAAAACAGATACAGAAAGCATAATAACACAGTTAAGTAGAGCAAGATTTCAGCTACTTACAGTTATTTTTCCACATAATCACCACCATTCTTTATGCACTTTTTCCAGCGGCGAACAAGAGCCTATATGCTGCACCCGTAAAAGTCTGCACCAGCAGAGGCTAGCCACTTTCTTACAGCTGCAATGACAGCATCACTGTCTGGAAAATGTTGCCCATGTAGTCCATCTTTCATAGGCCCAAAGAGATGGAAGTCTGAGGTGCTAAATCAGGGCTATAAGGTGGATGTGGCAGGACAGTCCAGCCAAATTTTGCGATGTGGGCGGTGGTCGCCAAACTGGTATGGGGTCTAGCATTATCGTATTGCAAGCGAAAGGTTGTCTGCTTCTCTGGGCTGACTGGGGAAATGCGGGCTTTCAGCTTAGTCAGCATCGTCTTGTAGCATTCAGAATTGACAGTCTCACCAGGCTACAGGAAATCCAACAAAATCACACCCCGCCTATCCCAAAAGACTGTGCACATCACTTTCCCTGCTGATGGCTGTGTCTTGAACTTCTTTTTTCTTGGAGAATCTGGATGTCGCCACTCCATGGACTATCTTTTGGATTCCTGCTCGCAGTGGTGACACCATGTCTCATCTCTGGTGACGATGCTGTCCAGAAACTTGCCAACTTCAGCCTCAAACTGGTGCAACAGGTCCTGACAGACTTCCATTTGATGAGTTTTGTGGTCCTGTGAAAACATCCGCGGGACCCACATGGAACAAACTTTGTGATAATCCATCTTCCCCGACATAGTTTCCAATGCATTACAGCCTATATTAAGCCGTGCACACAGTTCCCTGGTCATTATCCGCTGATCTGTACGGATGAGCTGATCGAGGTGCTGTTCATTGTGAGGAGTGGCAGCTGAGTAGGGACACCCAGGGCGGAGCTTGTTGTGCACTTCACTTTCACCACTGTTGAAATGCACTACCCACCACCTCACTGTGCTGACATCCACTGTATCGTCTCTGTACACCTTTAGCAAGCATCGATGGATGTCAATGGATGCAATTTGTTCGGCAGTGAGCAATTCAATAACACATCTCTGTTTCGTATGCACTTCTATGTCAGACGCCATTTTGGTAGACTGCTCTGCTGTTGCTATCTGTCACACGACAACCAAACTAACAGTATATTGGTGGGAAGGTTCAACCTTTACTGCAACACCACCAACATCCAGCTCAGACGTTACAGATTAACACAAAAAAATAGGAGGCACTATATATGGAATGCCCTTCATATATCAATGAAGTTGCACAAAGAAGGCAAGGAGTAAGAACACAAAGTCATACTTTACAAATTTGACACTGATCTTCTAATCATTACATTTATTGCCAGTGATCACTTTTTATTTCCAAGAACACAAATGAAAATCCCTATTTAATGAATTTCCACAGGAGGAATGTATTTTCTTACACTGAATCAAGTTTTCCATCAAACGAAGACATACAAAATTCATCAAGAAAACATTCACCTTCATGTAACTTACAGCAAGTAATGATAGTAAAATATCTTTACATAAGAGGTTAATTTCTTCCTGCACAAGCAAATAAAATTACATAGCAGTCATATCACACTTCTTAAATGATTAAAGACATAAAATAATCACTGGAAGAAAGGGCTTTTCAGAGGTTCTCTGATAACCTCCAAGCAGTAATTGTTTAAAATGTATGAAAAATTAAACAGAGGGCATCACCTGTTTTTGTTAACCTAAAGCTTCTCCTCAATTATAGTTCTCCCACAAACATTCAATATTTTTCAGTCTATTTAACCTCACATATTATTATCACATTACCCATACAAAGCCATATAACTATTAGCAGAATTTATAAGTTAATTAGTTTCCTACATCAAAGCAGGTACTTTGAGGTTCCCATCGGTGCAAGAGATCACACTAATCCTCTGATTTATTTTGAAGTTTCCAAGTATATCTGATATGACCATAATGATAATTTCCACAATTATACAGGTTTTTACAGGAACAGATAGAGGATGCCTGAAAGTAATCCTGACAATGTGGAGAGGTTCATCTATATCTGTAAATAATCACTTCTTGACTTCGTGGATCAGGCAATTTAATGCCTGTATCAGTGTCATGTTCTGTTTTCAGCATCTCATTCAGCTTCTCCTTCATACTCTTTGTCCTACAGGTTTATAATTCTATGCTATCTTTGACCACTTTTCTTCACCCAATCTATGTACACGGTCATTCCCTCTTTTCCTATATGTAGCAATTTCTTCCACTGTATCATTTAGCAGTACTCCCTTTCTGTGTGCAAAATGAGGCATTCTAGGACTGTGCATACTCAGTATAAAATCAGAGAAAATACATGAACACCTGAATAACTTCTATCTTTAGTTTAGTTATTTAGAGAGGGTGGGTTTCCCCATGCACCGTGACCAGTTTGATCTATTGTGCTTCCCTCTATGATATTCTACCAGTCTTTATACCCTACCGATAAATGGTGCGTGCCATCAGTCCCGCCGAGCAAGCGAGTTAGGCCACTTGCTTAGCGGTATCTATAATGCTTCCCCCATCTATCAGAGGCCTTAGAGACTATTGTTGGGCGGGAAACGTCCTGGAATTTGGTTCAGTGATCCACTTTGGGGATATGAGGTTCTTTTACGCGCCGTAAAGTTACGACACGGGACACACAGCTTAAAGTCCCTCCAGGAGGACTTGTTCCCTGAATTTTTCCGCCCTTAAAAATTTGACGACCTCTGCCGGGTATTTGGACCTGCGTACCACGAGTCATGAGGTGGGAATGTTACCTCTAGACTACGGAGGCCACTTATCTTTAGTTTCATATGGGTACGCAACTTGGTCTCTCACTCCAAGAGAAGAAAATAAATTGTATTTCAGAACAATAATCAGAAGGGTGAGCCATGCATCACAACTCAGGTGACTTTAGCTCAACTTATGACAGCTCCCAGAGCTCCATCCCCTTTCCCTGCACTCTCAGAATCTTTATTTCTCTCCTCTTTGATCAAGCATGTAGTGGCTTGCAATACTTCGCTGCAATTTGGTTCTGATCTGGAAATCTGTGAATAAAGATTCCAGTCCAAGTTCTGGAAGAGAGTTTGAGTTCTTAAACAGTGCTATATTGTGTGCACTCCCTTGGAGAGAAGTTCTGGCTTGAAGAGCCCATCTGGCTGCACAGTTGTCTTGGGTTTGAGCTAAGAAAGGTTGACTGTTTGGGCCAAATCCACTTTTAGTACACTGTTTTTGTTTTGTGTTCTGGTAAAAAAAAAGGCCTGCTTCCAACAGTGTTTATTTGGTTACTGCTTCACTGTTATTAAACAAACTGATACGTAATACTGTCATGTTATATCACTGAATTCAAGTGTACTTTAACTAATATATTTTGTATTTCATTTGCATTGTAATAATGACTTGCAACAACAGCAATTGTGCTATCCAGTGATAAAGGCTATGAGAATGTGTATTAAGTGTAAGTTCAGTTCCTCCTGTTAATTCTCATTCCACCAAATGCTCCATATTCACGTATCATTCAGGGCTGGTACAATAGGCCAATCAATGGCTGATGGACCAAGTGGACTTAAGGCTCCCACACACAGATGCGATACTCAGCTCGGTACGGTATGGGACGATATCTAATTACATTGCGGTAAATGGAGGTCCGCACACTGGCGCGGTACTCCGAGGAACGCGATATTATCGCAGTCAGTATATCGCCTCGGTATTTCGGTCTACCGAGCGCACTCGGTAGACCGCGCGGTATCGCAGTGGTAAATAGTCATGGATCAGTCTTTGGAGGAAGAAGTTTTGCTTTTAGCTGTCGCTCATGATGAAGACGAAGGTGAATCCCAGCAAGTATTTTACTGAACACTAAATCTGCGTAGTTCTTTTCCTCCAAATATTCAGTATGTCATATATATGTATAAATATTTACAATTCCATAACGAGTCTCTAATTAACCGTTCAGCGTGGTTTGACGTGTATGTTTCGTCAGGTATTTAAATCGTCTGCGGGGGTTCGACGTCTATGTTTCGTCCAGCTGCACACCTATGTTATAACGCCCATAATAATTGATGGTTTTACTGTAGATTGTTAGATTTTTCGCTGGCCTGTTGTCCGGAGTACCGTGAATAATGACACACGAGTTTAGCTGCGCTAATTCATCGTTACATATGCCTGTCTTGCAGCAAATTTCCTGTTGCTCTTGGGAGAGGTTTAGTCGTTGCAACTGTTATGGATGGCGTGTTTTCTTTCCTGTGAAGTTATAAACAGCAGAGACGTGATATGTGCTGTGTTTATAATATCATATTGCCCTGAGCTGGCCACACTAACACACTCAATTGGAATTCTTAGAAGAGGGATGTCCAGATTTTATTCTTGCAAGATCGATTGATTTCGCGCAGTATGTAGCAGCGAGTTCTTGGAAAAACGTCACGAATTAAGGCAAAACACTGTGGTCACCCCCTATGACGATACTGGTGTGTGTGTGTGTGAGGAGGAAAAGAACTCATTCCTTCATGTATTATCGCTCCAGTTGACGCCATTTTATCGTACTGACCTTGGTGGTCGTTTCGAGGGATGACCATAAATATTTTTTTTGAGCCAGCTAAGCTCTGCTTTCGTGCACTACATACCAGCCAGTTCTTAGAATAACTTCATGAATTCTGTGGTCACCC